GCTTTTTTCTAGCCTCTGGGGGGCGAACAGCTGGAGATGCTCTAAACCGGTCTTCTTTTAGAGCATCTCCAATAGGCGCGCAACGACCGACGCGCTAAAAAATGGTATACAGCGCCGGGTGAGCTAGCTTTTGCACGCGGCGGTGTGCTGGCTCCAGCGGCCGCTGCAAAATAAAGCGCGCCCGAGCCGCTGCATCAGACGCGCAACGACCGGCGTGCTAAAAAATGGTATACAGCGTCGGGTGAGCTAGCTTTTGCACGCAGCGATGTGCTGGCGCCAGCGGCCACTGCAAAATAAAGCGTGCCCGAGCCGCTCCAGTAGACGCGCTATATTTCTTATTTTTTGTACTACGATTTGATACTCATTTGGCTCCGATAGTACAAATAGACCTCCTCCTACGATACATAGATAGTGCATAGATAGTTCATAGCCTCCTTCTACAATAGATTGATAAAACAAAAAACTACTACTACTCGTTATCCTCCGACTCGGACTCTGCCTCGGAGATGTCCTCCTCCGACGTCTGAATGTAGGCGTCAAGGAATCGCTCGTCGTTGGAGTCCCAGGACAACACATCTCCTAGCACGATGTTGAAATTAGCGGCCGCCTCCCGCATTCGCATGTCCTCGCGATAGGCGGCTCGCTCCGCCCTCCTCTCCTTCCTCTCCGACATCCTCTCGACGAAGAATTGTTGCTCGTTGATGACGTCTTGCGGGAAGCGTGGGCGCCACTGTGCCATGGCTCCCTCGTGCATCTCGGCCAGGCTGAGACAACGCTCCGCCTCCGGTTCTCGCGACAATCCTCGTCGGTGATAAGCCGCCGGGGAGGCGCCAACTCCTGCACCCGCTCCTGCGTCACCACGTCCGGAAAGTTCATGTCCCAACAGGACTGCCGGAGGCGCCAGGCCGCAGCGTCGTACGCGCGAGCGCCCTCCTGGGTGGTGTCGAAGGCTCTGAGGCCGAAGCGCACGTCGCTGGACCGAATCTCGGTGAAGTAGGTGCCGGACAGACACACGCGGACGCCGCAGTAGCCCGAAGTTCCCCGGCGGCGCGGCGGCATGGTGGCACGATGGTGGCGTGTCGGTGGCGAGGAGAGAAAGAGGTAGAGGGAGCGAGGAGAGAGCGGCAGAGGGCGCTGCATTTTGTAGGCGTGCCGGACACGGTGCGCCAAATCTAACGTGAGAGCTCTTGCTTTTTCCCGCGCGCACGAGTTTGCCGCCACCGTTGGAGCATGCGAAACCATCCCATGCGCGTTAAAATCTTCTTTTACCGCGCGCGTGTTTTTTCCAGCCAGTGTTGGATGCACTTACAGTCTATTCATTATCATGTGCGATCGCTCGCAGCAGTATGCTGGTAGGCAGTAGGTGTAAGAATTCTATAGCGCGTCCCGATAGCGTGCAAACTCAAGCAGGAATAGTAGAGATAAATAACAAGACAAAGAAGTCCCAAGAAGAAAAGGCATCCTGGCAACGAAACATAATATTACTGTACAGCGACGATTACGCCCAGCTAGACCTCCACGTCGTTTCTCGAGTTTCGACTGTTCAGCGAGTGGTTCATTTATCTCCCCACGAGCATGGATCCACTGTCCGTGGTTGATTCAAGATTTACGCTATACTTTTTTTTGGTTATTATCAAAATTTATCTCGTTTCAAAATGTTTACTTCGTGTTGTTTTCATGTCTCAAGCGTGTATCATCATGTTTTATTGCGTACCAATAAAACATATACACTTGTTTTTTAATCGGGTTTGCATGATACATGATGATACACAATGAAACAAAAAGATACACTCTGAAAGAAGAAAAACTGAATGTGACACTTTGAACAGGGCAAATTCTATAATCAGTTAAAGAAAAATCGCAATGAATCTCTAAACATCCATACACAGGATATCTGTGCGGGGTAGAATTGCTTTTCTCGTGTGAGGCCAAGGTAACGTCCATGTATAAGATCCACATCCTTGCCTCTGATCCATTCACCAAAGCGCGGGCGCATGCACTATTCGATAGAGCATATTACAAAGCAGTGTATTATCCTCGCAAAAAAAAAAACAGTGTATTAGCTAGCTAGAATCCGGTCAATGGAGCTCACGAGCAGCACGATATTGAAGCCGGTGCCGCACCCGCTCGTTGGCGAGATGGTCCCGCTGACCATCTTCGACCGCGCTGCCTCAGACCTGTTCGTCCCCACCGTGCTAGCCTACCTCGCGCCGGCGCCGTCCAACGAGGCTCTCAAGGAAGGCCTTCTCAAGGCCGTCGCGCCGTATCCCCACCTGGCGGGGCGCCTCGCCGTCGATCAGCTCGGCCGGCGCTTCCTCCACGTGAATAACGAAGGCGTGCTCCTAATTGAGACCACGGTACCGGCTAACCTGGCGGACGTGCTCGTACAAGGCCGCATAGCCACCGGAGTCGACCACCTCTACCCTACAGTACCAGAGCCAGAGGTACGTATTCATCAATCGATGGAGATTTTGCTTCTTTCACGACTCAATTCACATGCATGCTTATGCCTTATTACGTACATACAGGAGAACATTGGGGCGGCGCTGCTGCAGATCCAGCTGAACAGGTACGGGTGCGGAGGTCTTGTGGTCGGGATGTGCTCCCACCACCGTGTCGCCGACGGCCACTCCATGAGCATGTTCTTCACCGCGTGGGCAACAGCGGTCCGCGAGGGGAAGGACTTTACCATGCCGACCCCATTCCTCGACCGTGAGAAAACCGTGGTGCCCCGAAGCACGCCAACGCCGGTTTTCGACCATCGGTCGCTGGAGTTCATGTGTGGAGATAGAAACGCCGCCTACATCGTCGTCCCCATGCACAGGATCAAGAACCTCAAGGTGCACTTTACGGCCGAGTTTGTGGTCGACCTCAAAGGCCGTGTCGGCGCCCGCTGCAGCACGTTCCAGTGCCTGCTCGCGCACGTCTGGAAGAAGATGACGAGGCTCGGGATCTGAAACCGGAGGAGTTCACCAAGGTGAGGATGGCTGTGAACTGCCGGGGCAGGGCCAACCCTCCTGTGTCTATGAACTTCTTCGGGAACATGGTGTTATGGGCGTTCCCAAGGCTTCTGGCCCGGGATCTCATGAGCTCGAGCTACGGCAGCGTGGTCGGCGCCATCCGCGACGCCGTGGCACGCATCGACGGCGAGTATGTGCAGTCCTTTGTGGACTTCGGCTAAGTGGCTGACACCAACGGAGAGGAGCTCTTCGCGACGGCTGCCGCTCCCGGCTCCATGTTGTGCCCGGACGCAGAGGTGGACAGCTGGCCGGGGTTCAGCTTCCATCAGCTTGATTTTGGCACCGGGGCGCCGGCTGCTTTCCTGCCGCCGGACTTGCCTTTCGAGGGGTTCATGTTATTCGTGCCGTCACGCGAGGCGAACGGCGGCGTCGACCTCTTCACGTCCATCGCGGAGGACCACGTTGCGGCGTTCGAGCAGATCTGCTACTCCTTGGATTGATTGACCCAGCCACGGCCATGTTCGCATCGTTATGTGCTTCCAGTTTTTCTACAACTATATTATGAATTCAAATATGGATGAATTATTTGATAGGGTTTTGCACTGTATACTTGTATAGCTATCCCATATTGGAAAATGATTAGAATTATCTGGCCGATTCTATGCCTCACGTCCGCCGCAACGAGAGCAAACCACGTGTTGTACAGACCCTCGCACCGCAAGTCTTAAGATTTTGCAACATCCTCCATGTTGCAGTGGCAGTACGACGGTGCAATGATGCAGCGGAAATTTTTGCAACATAACCTCTATTTCAAAAAAAAGTTTGCAACATTACCTCTATTGCAAAAAAAGGGGAAAACATTTGGTTCAGCAAGCAGTCTCCCCTGGACAACAAGTGTTCCCTGTGGGGTCCATCCATATCTCCCTTCTCAACCTTATCTCTTCAACGACCTTATCCCTCCACTCATTTTTTTTCTTTTTTTTTTTTGCAACCGCTGGCAATCGGCCATCATCTGCAAACAATGACGTTGTTTGCAAGCGTCGGCGGACTTCACAAGTCCATCCACCGGCCATGATAACGACAGTGAGCGACGCTCCTAGAACATCGATGCGGCGAGCGGCATCATCTTCTTGATTTCACAGTCTCTATTTCGCAAATAAATTTCTGCAACATAAACTCTGTTGCAAAAAAAACAGGGACATGTCCCCTATTGCAAATGATTCTGCAATCGATTTTTAAATTTTTTGCAAAGAGACCTCTGTTGCAAAAAAAAGAGTACAGGCTCATGTCGTGTGATCTTTAAAATTTTGCAACAAGACCTCTGTTGCGAAAAAATCTGAAGCAAGATCCCTCTTGCAGAAAATGAAAAAATACACACGGGTGATCTTTAAAATTTTTGCAACAAGATCTCTGTTACGAAAAAATTATGCAATAAGGTCTCTGTTGCAAAAAAATACAGGCTCGGGTGATTGCAACAAGCAGGCTGTTGCAGAAACACCATTCTTATTGCAAAGTATGGCTGCTTACGTTGGTAGATCGGACGGTCATTAATGTGTCCATCGAATGATCAGAGGGGTGGCGGATCCTTTTCTAATTTCTGCCGGTGGACGCATAGGGTCGCCCTCCCATATTGGTATTCCATGTTCGGATCTTATTTCCTGTTTAGATGAAAGAGCACATGAACTGTAAAAAAAGGGGGATCAATAAGTCTCGAACGTGCCTCTTTTTCTCATCTCATCCCGAACGCTTTTTTCACCATCGGATCTTACACACGCATCTTAAAGCAGTGAAAGGGTACACGTCAGCTAGTCGACCACGTTCGTTGAAAATATGCCACGACCCAAACGCAGATCTCCGCCTTCTTTCTCCTTGCGCTCGTCTGGGCGCTATGGAGGAGGCCATGCACCGGCGACCAGGTGGGGGGAAGCCACGGATAGGAGCTCGGCCGATTCCAGGTGTCGCGCGGTGAAGGCGGGCGGGCGGGGTCTGATGTCCTCGCCGGCGTCGGGAATTGGAGCATGGGGAGGAGGCGGAGGCCCGCCCGCGTTGTGTTCCGGCGGAAGCCATGTGGCTGAGGAGCTAGCGCGGGGGAGGTGATGGCACGGGGAGCCGGTGGTCGCGTGGTGGAGGAGCATCGGCCTAGTCCCTGACGAGCACAATCTGGTGGCTTGGCCTAGGCTCAACGAGCTCGAGTTGGAACCGGCAGGCTCCTGAGCAACGGCATCATGTGCACCGTCGTCTCCATCAAGACTGCTTTTTTTTCCTGGTGAGCCACCTTGTTTTTCAACAACTCATTTCTTCCTGCTATTTTTGTTTCTTTTTTATGTATGTATGATTGTTAGACATTTTTTAAAGATGGTTGGAAGAGGAATCAAATTTTTTTTGTCATCATGAGAGTTATGATTGAATTAGTTGCCACAAGTATCTCCACAGAGTTTGTGCATCATCATGGCAAATTTAGAAATGGTGTAATAGTTACACGGCAAATTTGATTTTGTACGACATGGCAACTTTGTGTAAATGAGTGGAGTGATCACATGATATTTATAGTTGTATAATTGTGTTATCTAGAATTTTTTTCATCGCATTTTTGCCATGATGTTAGGGAATAAACAACATCTGCTCATATGACTTTTGTGTACAACTATTTTTAGATATTGTACGACGACATTGAGAAATTATAATTTATGCAAACTCAATTTATGTTTTTGCCATTTGGGAACTTAAAATTATGTTGCCATGGCAACTTGTCGTGCCAAATTACAGTTTTTCTTGCCATGGGAGAAATCATAATATGTTGCCATGCAGACTCAACTTCTGTTGCCATGCCAAATTTAATGATTGGATTAGTTGCCACGAGTATCTCGTTAGAGTTCATGCATCATGTATCATGACAAATTTAGAAATCGTGTAATAGTTACACTACAAATTTGATTTGTACAACATGGCAACTTTGTGTAAATGAATGGACTGGTCATATGACATTATTAGGTGTAATTCTGTTATCTAGAACATTTTTCATGGCATTTTTGCATTGATTGCAGGGAATAAACAACGTTTGGTCGTATGTCTTTTCTGTACACCTATTTTAGACAATTGTACGACGACATTTCTAAATTATAATTTATGGCAAACTTAAATTATGTCGATACCATTTTTTGGAAACTTAAAATTATGTTGCCATGGCAACTTCTCGTGCCAAATTACATTGTTTCTTGCCATGGGAGAAATCACAATATATTGCCACATAAACACAAAGTATGTTTCCATGCCAAATTTAATTATCTACTTTGCCATGTCAACTTTTACTTTCTTTGCCATGGCAAAATTTTACCTTTTATTGACATGGCAACTTTACTTTTTATACATGGCAATTTTAGTTTAACATAAATGGCAATTTTTACTCTACTTTGCCATGTAAAAAAATTGCAATGGCAACTTTTTTTACATTAGTTGCCATGACAATTTTACTCCTGAATACATGGCAATTTTACGTTAACATACATGGCAATTTTTAATCTAATCGCTCATGGCAAAAATTACTTTTTCTAGCCATTGAAAATTTACTTAATGGACCGTGGCAATTTTTTTAATTGCCACGCCAAAAACAAAATAACTCCGCTAATGTATGTACTAGCCATGACAAATTTTATTTAACATACATGGCAAATTGACTTCTATACGGCATTGCAAGTTTTACTTTTTTTTACTATGCCAAAAATACTTTACACGCATGGCAAATTTTGACTTTCCCACCTTAAACTTTTTTTAAGAACACAGCAATTTTTACCTTTGTAGCATTGTAAATTTACTTTATTGCCACTTCGACCATGGAAAAATTTAAGATTTTTATTGCCATGGTAATTTCCATTTAACATTCATGTCAAACTTACTTTTTGTCACTAATGGCAAATATACTTCTATGGATCATGGAAAGTTTTTAGGTTTTTTTGGCATGGCAAAAACACTTCACATCCACGGCAATTTATGCCTTTTCCACCTTTGATGGGAATTTTCGCTTCTATATACTATGTTAAATTTACTTTGCAAAACATGGCAATTTACTACTAAACAATAGATGGCGCATTTTTGTTTTGTGCTCCACATGATGACAAATTTTAATCCACATTTTTGTCTCTTCATTTATAAAGTACAAATAGGATATGGATTTTTAAACCATATTTCTTACAATTGTGGTACATATGCAAATTTCCCATGAACTTCTCTTTTGTGCTATTGCATAAAAAAATTGACCAAAGATGATGGAATTTTTTGGTTCGAAACCATTGGAATTTTTATAGTATTATCTTGTTTTTCATTTTTCTATCTATCATGACAAATTTATCTTTTCGCCATTGCAATTTTGTTCAAAGTGTGGCAAAATCTGGCCTTTATTATTCACAGCCAAAAGTGGGCTTCTTTATTCACAGTAATTTTTGGACAAACCGGGCTTTATTTTTCTTTTTATTCAAAGAAAAGGCTTGGGGGATGGTGTCTTTTGAGTGCTCCTACACAGTGTGATGTTCGTGATGTGGGGCTGTTCCGATCAAAAGTTTTCGTTCGTCACGGTGTTTTACCGAACAAAAGGTTTGGTCTGGGAGGCAATTCTTAAACGGCGCCTTAAGCGCCCATTTTAGTTATTTCAGTAATCGGGCGCACACCCTTCCGCCGCACTGGGCCGACCCATTTTTTATTTTTTTTCTGTTACTAAAACACAAAAAAAACTGCTAACCGTGGGTTACATTTGAACTGGTGATCTCGCTAGTATATGGGCACTGCCCTAACCACTCCACTATCTCACATGTTCATGTTTTCTTACAGCTTTTTCAACCTTTTCTTCTATATTGACTCCTTTTTATTTTTTATTGGAGACGGTTTTGTTCGTTGTTTTCTTGTTTTCATTCTTCTTTTCTGCTAAGTGCGCGAACTTTTTTTCCCAAATTTGTGAACTTTTTTTCAACTTCATGAAGTTTCTTTCAAATCGATGAACTTTGTTT